CATTACACCTACACCTTGTAGAAATTCTTGTTCAAAAAATGAATATAGTTTCTTTGAATAAAATTGAGCAGCTTGCTTTAATATTGAGCAGTTTTTTATTACAGGTTCTATTTCGGAGTGGCTGCATCTATAATCCTCATCCTGTTTATTCCGGCGCCAATTCCTCATCAACTTCTCTAAACCCAAAAAGCAATCAGTTATAGAACTTGTGGGCTTAGAAATGCCATGACACACATTATTAGTAGACTCGCTACGTTGTGTGGATAGAATGTTTATACTAAAATAATGCTTATTGAAGGCTGTTGACCACTTATTCCTTATCCTATAAAGATCCTGCAACCAAACATGATCTTGGAGGTTCCCTTGTATGATCAATTCAGCCCATGCATTCTCAAACTCCTCCTCAGAGTCACATCTGCTCAAACACTTATTGAAGAGGCCTTTGACTTTGTTGTTGGTATTGTAGCACGATACTTTTGATGGAGCCTTCTTACGGATATGCCATTGGCACAATCTATGGCGACTTTGAGGTAGTGCAACTTCTATGGCCCTAGCCATTGCCTGGTCTTGATCTGTATATATTGTTATTGGCTGTTTATCACCCATCATTCGAACAAAAGTTGTAAACACCCACGTAAATGATTCAATTGTCTCTTCGGACAAGAAGGTCATCCCAAGCAAAATGTTTTGCCAATGATTGTTAATCCCGACAAATGGTGCGCATACCAAATTATACTTATTAAGCCTATAACTTGTATAAAAAATTATCACATCACCAAAGCAGTCATAATCTATCTTACCAATCCCATCAACCCAAAAAAAATTTAACAATCTATCAAATTCATCCTTCTGGACATCCCAAGAGAACATGTTATCATTAAGTTGACGTTCTTTAAATAACTCAATCAAAGTATTAGTGTCCTCAAGTTCAATCTTTGCTCTTTTTATTCTTTGAATAAAGTTGTACGCATCCCTACTTGTGAATCCAATATTTTTGACACCTCCAACTTCATCAGCAAGGAAGGAAAATGCATCAGTGGTTCTTATCCCAGCATCTGTCATTGCTTTAAGAACAGAAGCTTTTTCATCACACATATTCCTGCATGATCTAAGAAGATGCCGGTCTTCTGGCCTAGGCAAATCATGATTGTGATTTTCAATAAATTTTTTCACCTTCCAATATCCACATTCATCCACTGTAAACCTAGTCATAGCTGGATAACCAGTTCGGGTATCTGATCTTCAATATTTCCTTTGGATATTAAGATCAGGCAACTTCTTGAAACCAGCTTTTGAACAAACAAAGTCCTTGGATTTTAAATTTTTGGAATTAGGCCAGTAACTGCGATGATCCTTACGAACACTAAAACCAAGATTATATCCATACTTACGATAAGTCTCGTATGCCTCTTTCTCATTAACATAAACATCATGATAAATAAGCAATAAATGAATTATCCAATGCACAACCAATACGCAACCAATAAGCAGTAATTAAGCAAAGCAATATCCAACCAATAAGCAGCAATTAAGCAAAGCAATACCCAACCAATATGCAACCAATCCGCAATAAAATCACAACATATGCACAATTAATACTCAATGTATACCAATTCAATACGCACATAATACTCAATGTATATCAAACCGATAAGCAAAACATACGCAATTAATACGTAACAAAGCTTTGCAATAAGAAAATCGAGCTACATATTCGTTATTGTACCCTAGCTCAATGATACTATAAAAGAAGGGAACATCGAGTCTTGCTTCTAAAATCAATTACAATTTAACATTATGTACATTGTTGATAATAATTTCATCAAGAAAGGAACATTTAAAATATTTGTACCCTAAAATAATTACATCAGAAAAATGTCTATGTAAAGAAATTTGATTGCAACATTGCTATAAAGAAAACTTGGAAGAAGGTGAAGTTTACCGATAAGCTGAACTTTTCGTCTTGTATCACTGGTTCTACGTGTTCTGCTTCATGTGCACTTGTTTCCTGGACGTCGGCATTCTCCAGGTTATCGGCTTTCTCCGAGACCTACGAAAATATTGTCTGCTCATAAAAACCTGCATCCTCCTCCAGATCCAGATGAATCTCCATCTTCATCGGCATTTTTTCTGCGAAAATTTTGGCTGCTCTGCGAAAATTTTGGCTCTAAGCGTTATATATTGCAGTGATTCGCGCCTTAAATTCTAAAAAAATAAGCGCCAAACTAAATTTAACGTTATCTCTCGGGTCGGGCTAAAAGACGGGTCGGGTTTACGAGGTTTACGCAAGTCAATTGACTTTTTAACCCTTTCCACGTAAGCAACCGAACACATCTTTATGATCGGATTCCACATAGAATAATTTCTCGTGCGAAGTAGAGGAGTTGAGCGGGCGATGCAGCATGCTGAGCTCGGACGCAAGCATAACAGGAGGGACTAGATCACACAAATGAGTGAGAAAGCAAGTGCGAGAATGAAAATCATCGACTTCTCATGCGAGGTAACTCTGTTTCGGTTCATCCAATTATGCCAAACGAACATAGGATGATTGAGAGGGAGAGGTAGTAGAAGAAAGGTTTGTTTGTAAATTTTGTTTATTTTTATGCAAATTATTTCATAACTTACACCAAGAGAGCATCATTTTAATTAAAGCCAAATGAAGGAAATATAGAGTTTTTTTGGGTTTCCATTTCTTCCAAAGGGGGAAAAATAAGTCACTTAAATTTTTTGTTTTTTCTATCCAAATTTAAATTCAAAATAAATGTATAAATTATAATTTGCTGATGTAATAACATACAAATATTTATTAGTAAGAAATCATGCTAGTGGAAGTTTTGATTCGACAAAGAAGAAGCAAATATGAGGTAAAAGATTCAAGTCATATAAGTAAAATTTTAATCTATTTTAGAAAGTTTAATATGCAATATGATCAAAAATATAATTTGTTAAATTAAAGGAATTTGACATTTATTATTGCTTTGATGATTCCTTTAGAATTTGGTCTAATAATATTTAATGACAATTAATATTATTTTGAAACAAAGAAAAAATTAAATATCTGAATTGTGTTGAATATTGAAATTAAGTGTTGTATTAAGGAACCAAAATAGAGGACTTGGAAAAGATCTGAACACATGAAAATAATTAAAGTGAGTAATTATAATTATTTGATAGCAATTACAATTTTTTTTCTTTTTATTGTAATCATTATGTTGTAGCATATATGTTGATTGAATGCATAATATATAGAATGAATCAAATTGGGAAAAAATAAAGTGGATGATTATTATATATCAATTATATTTTTTTATTTTTCATTTCAGTTTTAAATACAATATCACGCTTGATTATTTACTTATGTTTAATTGTTTATTATGTTCAAAATGATGAAATTATAGCAATTAAAGTTATAATGTAATATGAATATGTATGCGTGTATGAAAAGTGCATATATCGATTAAACTACATGTAAAAAAAAATGAAAGTAATAAAATAATTTATAACATATAAATAAAAGTATTAAAAAAAGGAAAAGATGCATGCATACAAATATAAAAGTTCGCTCATTTATGATGAAAGGAATACAATAAAAATCTATAGCTTATGAAATGTTATGTATATGTTAACTGTAAAAGAAATACGAAAGAACATGATTATTTTTATGTATGTTTAACTACCATACAACAAAATATAATTGTGTTTACAAACTGCTAAACTAAAATTTTAGATAAATATTCTATGAAATAAATATCTGAAAGAGAATATTTCGTCTACAGAAGAAAGAGATCAAATGAAATAGATAATAACTAGTTTACGTATGCGTTCAATTTGAAAATTTATGTTAGTAGCTCTTCAATTCTATATTGGATGTTAATTTATTAATTATTTTATATTATTGAAAGAAATATATTAATCGTTCGACCATCTGTTCTAACCTTGTTAATTATATTGGAGCTTTTAATTTGGGCTGGGTCATGATAGGAAGAATGCTCATTCTTGAAGGAGAAGGACAAAGATTGAGGGTTTGTTGATAATGACATTGAGCTGAGAAAGAAGAAAAAAAAGACCTCTATTGGCAGCTTGATAAAAGAAGATACAAAGAAGATGCCCTAGTTTTTGCTTCTATTTAAACCAAGGTTGTGAAAACCGAACAAGACAACAAACCTGTAGAGAGAGCGGTTCACGGTTCAAAACCGGTCGAACCGGGGTCGAACCGCATGACATAATAAATAAAATTTAGATGACATAAAAATCATATAATAATATAATTTTCTATTAAAAAATAAATTGATTAACACATTACTAATATCTTATATAATTTTAAATTTAAACATATACAATCTTTAAATTTAATTTAAATTTAACAAAAAATTAACTTACAAATGAATTAATAAGTTTAATATAAATAATTACTAATTTATATTATATATTTATAATTTATATATTAGATTCGTATTATTATTTTACATTTATAAATTATTGAGGTCAAATTAAATAATTTATTATAACTAATAAATTAATTAATTACTATTTATAGTACATAAAAGTAAATGAAGAATTTGAACCGATTGGATCGGCCGGTCCGGTCCAATTTTTAAAGCATTGCTTTAAACCCTGACTCAAATATTTAGAGAGAGAGTTATATTTGCAGGTTGATTGGTTGAAGTTGTGAAGAGCTTAATAGCTAGAGTATTTCGTGTGCGGTTTAGATTTGTGAGATGAAAGATTTGTGGTCTACATGAGAGGAGGCTTGGTCTACTTTGATTTGATTATTGGTTTCAATATGGGTCATTACAAGGTTCGAAGCACAAAGTTCCAATAAGGTTCAAATGTTATTCTTTTCAAATATTAGAACTAGTTTTGAATCAAATTCAAATTATATTAGAGTTTAAATTGGTTTAAATAATATTTGAATGAATTAAAAAAAGCAACTCTGAAATAAAATAAAAGGTAATATAAATATAAATTTATATATAATTAATCTGATTCGGCGCATCCAGCGTCATTGGAGAAGCGAGAGAAAAGGATCCAAGACATTGTTTAAGGTTAAATTCCAACAATCTTCTCTTAAATTCATTTCCTTTATAATCATTTCCGATCATAGCCATTGTTGTTGTCGTGGTTTGCAAATCCACCTCACTAGTTATGCTTTTTTAATCGAATGAGTGATGAAAAGCTAGGTACTTGCAAGGAAGTTTGTGGTTCGAGTTTTTTTTTTTTGGATTCGGAAGCAAAGGTTGCGCCATATTTTGCCCATCATTGCAAGCGCTGATTTATATTGCGAGCAACTAATTATTGTTAGGGTTCGAAGCTTTATCCCTGCCGATGCTTTGTTCCAAATGTTACGGGTTTTTATTTTTTATTTTTGTCTTTAGAAACTTCCTTCGTCTCCTTCATTAGGAAATGCTTCGCTTTTCTTCTCTGATATTGTTCTATGTGTATGAAGATGAGTGCCGCAGAAGGTGAGATTCCTAAGATTGCAATACTTGGATCTGGTATATTTGCTCGCACACAATACATTCCTAGACTCAGAGAGATAGCTGATTTGGTGGACGTGAAAACTATCTGGAGTCGTACTGAGGTATATATTATTATTAGTGTTTTTTTTTTTTTGGCATAATTTAAGCTTTTACTGTTTTACACTCATATACTGAGATACAAAAAGGCCTGGCTGAATTAGATAACTCCATAGTTTGTAGGGTAGTGTTTGAGAAATTGTGGAAGTGACATGAACTCGTGCTCTGTGTGGGTTCAAATTTATAGTTGGTATTATGCCCTAAAAAATTGTAGTTGACCTTTTGCTCACTTTTTCTTAAGTAGAATATCCAGGATATATTTTTATCACTTAAAAAAAATAAGACATTCATATACTTAGTCTAGATAGAACAAATTCACTACTTTAATTCATAAATTTGTATGAATTATATTGTTGCCTTGCTTTGTTTTTTTTTTTTACATTGTTGCCTTGCTATGCCCTTAATTTAGTTCAATACAAGGGCTTAATTTTGTTCAATACAAGGGCAATAGTATGTACAAGCACGATCATGTAATCTTAATATATTTATCTCATTTTATTTGGAATGTAATTTAGCAATTCAAGCTTGAATTGTGTAATTTTTACCATCTTATCAGATTGTAAATCTCACATAATTTTGCCTTGAATAGGAATGTAATTCATAAGCTTGAACTCAAATGTTTCATCCTCTCAAATTACATGGCATTTATATAGGACTCAGCAAAAGCTGCGGCAGAGCTTGCCCGTGACTTTTGTCCAAACATAGAATTCAAATGGGGTGACGCCGGGCTTGATGATATTATTCTAGATGATTCAATACATGGAGTTGCCATTGTTCTTGCTGGACAAATTCAGGTTTGACTTGATACTATCAAGAATTGACCTTGCCATTAATTACTATAACTTGTTGTGGCTTCATGCTTTTCATTTAAGAAATTGTAATGTCATTACCTGCTTGTTTAATCAATAAGAGCTACTTTGCTTGACATTGGTGCTCTCGTAATTAATATATATTTTCCGGTTACTCTTAACCCGCTTTATTCTGATATCTCTGTATAAGTAATGATGTCACTCCTATTTTTATTGATTTGTCTCTAGCTTTGTAATTCATGTGTAGAAATATCCTATTTAATCAATTAAGGCATCTAAAAACAAGTTCCACTGGAGGAAGTTGATTGGAAGCAATGGTAGTTGTGTAATCTGATATTAGCTGGATGTTAATCCTTATTGTTTTAGTGTCTTAAGGTTTTAATCTCCAACCATTTGAGTTGTGATTTAAGAAATTATCATTTTTTAGTGTTTTGGTATGCTAAGGTCATTAATCTCCTATCATATGATCAATAACTTATGAATTTGTTATTAAATATACTAGATCATCTAATGAGTGAAAAATCAGTGAACCATTTGTGCTTTATCACTTCATGTTTCTTAATAGAATTGGAAATTTTCTTGTGCCATGAAAAGTCTATATAATCATGGATTTCAAAAACCAAGGTTTATTTTCCCTGTTTCCTTTAAGCTTCTCTTGGACCAGTGGTCGAATATTTAGTTGTCTTAAGATGGTTTCAAAACCAAGGCTCCACCATTTTAAAATTGTTTAAAAAAATATGACAATTCAATATGAGAACACTCCCATTTTATTTAAACTTATTATCATTTCAGTGCCTTTAATTTTTCCTCTAGAAGTTGCACTTTTTGTAAAGCTTTCCTTGCGTATCCTTAGATTTCAGACGAAGCTATCATAAGATTCAGATTTTCTTACTGAAATTTCTCTACAGAGGATTATTTGCCCATGCTCCATTTATGTTTATCTCTACTTTTTATGCACACCAATTTTGTTAGTTATCCATTTTTCTTTTAAATATTAAACTTGTTGTTTAGTACATTTGATAATATGTTTAAGATCACTTCTACAGAATTTGAAAAACTTATCCAAAATCATTATTCGAAATCTAACCGCCTGCTGTTAACAATTGATTATTTGTACCATTCTTTATAATGATCATTACTAATTGTTTATGATTCTTGATCCCCAATCATTTTCCCTATTTCTGCTGTACATAGCTTCTCCAAGAAATATTGCTGATTGGCAATCCCAATTTGCAGGTTGATATGTCTCTTAAGATGTTAAAGGCAGGAAAACATGTCATTCAAGGTAATAATTAAAATGAAATATTAGTTCAAGCTGAATAGAAGAAACTTATTTTATGAGTTTATTGTATAGCATGCTCTATGAAGGATTTTACATGCATATATATTATATATTGTACATATATATATATATATATATATATATATATATATATATATATATCTTAAGATGTTAAGGATTGTATATATATAATACACACACACACATGGATATATGCAAATTTTTGTGACATCTGTAGATGTGCCTGGAAGGGATACTTTCTCCTCTTTGGAGTCAAACAGCCATATGTTTTGAAGCTTGCTCACTCAATCCCTACATTAGGGCTTTCTTTTATTTCATCATTATGCGAACTCGTCATCGGAAGCACGCACTTGTTCTTGCAATTTTCAGTTCAAATGCTTGAAAAGTTTTCATGATGGATAATTAATGTTGCAACTATTCAAATAACAATTTGTTATGAGATATTCTTTTAAACTATGTTAAATCATTTTGGTTTGGGTGTAGCATTGAAGAGATGAAATAATTTGATGTCGCTTTCCCTGGGATATCCAAATACACCTTTTTTATCCATACTTTATGCCTGATCATCCTAATATGACACTAATATGCTAATGAATCTTGATCGCAAAATGCCTTTTCTTAGATGATGAAAGTGAACAATCTTGATCTTGCATTTGAAATCCATGCTTGAAAACAAACGTTAATGAGGAATGTGCATTATCTGCTTAATAGGGAATATTCCTTCAAATATAAGCACGTTATCTATATGTACTTACACATATCGGTGGTTTAGAATTTAATGACGGTGGATTTTGTTGCCCTGAGAGCACAACTAGGGGGTAGGGGTTCAACGTGAGAGTACAAGAATGGAAAATCAAGGCAAACTGCACAAGAGATACATGTTTACAGCAAATTAAATTATTATAAAATTAGAAAACTATGAAATGAAACAACTAAAATAAAATAAAAGCTAAAAATCTTGATTTTAATATCATGGAAAGCCTTCATGCTTTCAATCTATCCCTTACAACTTGAATGACTGAGGTCAAAAAATAAATGCTTAAATGCTTTTCCTAAAGCTTTATCCATGGGAAAGTCAGGACTGGGAGGCATTGCTTGAACATACAATTTGGGGAAGAGGGGGAGAGAAACTGCATAGGGGATGAGAAACAGAGGAAGAGATGAAGCTAAAGAGGAAAAGAGAAAATTATGGGAGTGTGACAAGGTAAACTAGCCGGGATATGAAGGCCAAGTTTCAGGAAAAGGGTTCTTTTAACTTTATAATCTTTTTTTAAATGTTCTGAATCAGGCTTGTAGGACCTACTTAGGATAAAAAAGGGCTGAATTTGAGGGAAAAAAATTATCACTTCATTTATACACCATCTCGGCATCACATGAACCCTTCTTTACTTCCCACTTTGACCACCATGCAAATAAATGGAAATTACACCCAATTTGCTTCTCTTACCACTTTCACTATGGGTTACCATACCTGCATCAACTGTAAAGCTTAAGGACTATGTTAGATACAAAATCAAAGATACATTGTAAGAAGAGTAATAATGAACAATGAAATGGATTAAGAAAATAAGACTGGATTAAAAGCAAGAAGATTATAGTGTTCCATATTATGCTTCTACCATTGTCCAACATGTGACCGAGGTCATCTGAAGGTAATTCTTCTTTAGAAACAAAAAGAGAGGAACCAATTACATGTTTTAGCCACTTAGAAGTGCTCATCTTTCACTGGGTAATCTTTCTGATTCCATATCATGAATTGAGTTGTATTGGCTGTTTTAAGAAGCTTTTTCAAGATATTCATTCTGTAAGGTAATGCATTTAGCTGCTGAAAGATACGCCAATAGTAACATCTCTTTTTCTTTAAGAAAATTGAGAAATTCATAGCTCTTTGATATATGGAACTTCTAATGTCCACTGCTTTTCTTTATTGTGTTATTAATTTTCATAATACATCACTGCATATTATCATAGATTTATCCTGACTTGCTTCTTTCTACTGCTTGATTGGTGGATATGATGGCTTTGAAGAGAAACCAGCCTGTGGATGTAAGTAACCTCCAATTCTTATGATACTTCTGATTTGATCATTGAGGCCTATGCATTTAAAGACCAAAAAATTGAGCTATGTTTTTTTTTTCTTGGATAGTTATTACATTTGCATTCACTTAGGCTCTATTATCTCATGAGTCTACCTGTGTTTAAATTAGAACTACATGACTGTGTTTCCCGAGCTTCAATCCTAGAGAATGTTATGTTTCAAAGGGTGATACTTAAGTTTTTATTGGGTTTCATTTGGCATGTCCTTGGGGCTGTTTTAGAATAATGGATTATTATTTCATTTTCTATGTTGTTTTTGGTTGCATAAAAATAAATAACATATTCTGTTCTTTAGTCGAATATGATGAAAAAGCTTCAATATTTGATATGTTTTCATAGCTTTTAGTGTAGCTTGCTTGCAACAAGTTGCACTATCTAGGAATTCAAATAATAAAATTTACCGCCACACCACATGATATGATATTTAGAAACAAATAATGATCAACAAATGCAATAAAGAAATAGTGCAACAAGCATAAACCACATATGGACAAATGACATATTTTTTATGTGATTCGACTATAGCCTATGCCCATGCTCTGGTGAGCACCGCACCTAAGATGTTCTTGCTCGACCTGCAAATGAATTTTGAGCTATTACACAGATTTTTAATGTCGTAAAGAAATCAAGCAAACCATCCAATCCATCAAACATTGAAGGGCAATCTCATTACAAGCAAGTTTCTTGATTTCACTATCATATCTATGAGAGAAAACTCCAAAAAAATTTCATAGGGGAACTTGGTTGCTGGTCTCTCAAGAAGCTAGGCTTTTGGAGGAGTAATTTTTTTTACACAACTTAGATGTACCTATTAATATATTGTACATTCTACCTTTAAAGTTAATTAAATATTCAATTTCCACGTAATCATAGACATCTAATATTTAAAAAATCTGAGAGGATCCATAATTAATTGGTTCAAATAAATTTGAATTTGTCATATAAAGTTATTTGAAATTGATATTAGTGGAGAGTTTCGCAAACCACTTTGTTGATGCCTACAGATCATTACGTAGACTTGTAATAAGTATTTTTTAAAACCCATAACATTTGCTTTTTTATGGAGTTCCATAAATTTTTGCGGAGACTTGCAAGGATTTGGTGTGATCCATAAACATTAGGGGAGGCCCGTTAAATTCGAAAAATATTTTATTTACTTGTTATTTTTGTTTAAGCATATTTAGGCCTTTTTATATCAAAAGCTCAATTTTGTTTATTTTTGATAGGGTATTAAATATTATTTAAAAATAATTTGACACATAAATAGTGTTTTAATTGTGTTATTATGCGACCTTTTGATTTTGTTATTTAAATTTTTGTCAACCCTACTTTGCTTGCTTGTCGTTTATATCTTCAAGGTTTTTTGTTTTGGTTTGCTTTTATACAAAATGGCTCAACATTTTTATAAACCACTTTCCTTGCCTTTTTATGTTTGGATGGTTTTGATGAGCCTTTTTGTATCCTGAACTAAATTGAAATCATCATTCTCATATTCTTTGTGATATTCATGATTAGCAAAATCTAAGTAGAATTTTTTTGGCTCATGGGTTAAATAATCTCTCCTATTTTGATAATGATTGATATTCAATAAAAAGCTCGTTATAAATTCAGAATTTGGGTAATAATCCTCTCCCTCATGCTAAGCATTTGTCAAAAAAAAAAAAAAAACTTCATATCATACAAATTACCTAAAGAATAAAAAATAAATAAACTATAAGCACATATTACACAAAAGAATATTGACAAATAAAATATTAGATTTGTTAAGCATATCATATAAATGATAAACAATAAACATATAATTGGATTGACAAAAAAAATCATTGATATGAAAGTGGTGGTATACTATATGACTTTTTAATTAATTTTTATTTTAATGGTTTCCAAATCTTACTAGCTTCCTTATACAACCTCTCCCGCCTTGTTACAATAAATTGGGTAGTGACCTATACAAAGACAACATTTACTAATACCATCAAAGATATACTATTAACATTGAACATAACAAAGCTAGGAAAGAAATTAAAAACATATATCTCAAAATGACCTAAAAGGAAAGAAAAACAACCATTGCAACGTCATAGCTTGTATAAGCAACAACTCTAAAGACAACCAAACTTAGAATTCTCTGAATTCATCCTTCTCCTCCTCCTCCTCAACTCCTTCCTTAGGTTCTCCTTTTAAATTAGGGACTACATCTGGTAAGGGCCTTTTGTCAATAGGCCAGTGGTCGATCAACCACTGTGCGTGTCAATTTAGTTAGTCCACCAACTGTAAAATGCATGCAAGTTGGCCTTGTATGTGGAAGAGGATATAGAAGGGTTGGTACATTGGTGATAAGAGAAAATTTTAATATTCAAAATTTCATTTATTTTTGTAAAAACGTTTGTTAATTCTATTTTACTATACAAGAAATATATTAAATTTATTAAAATTGAAGGAGCGCCACAAGAATATATTTTCTTCTAGGGCCATCAAACAAGCATCTCAACGGTAGAAGTCATGGATGATTGCGGGAGAGATAAGTTCCTAGTGTCGAGGTGCTACCTATAGAGGATTGCAATGCCATATTAAGCACCACAATGCCAATTCGCCCCAGCACTGCAGCGGAAGACAGTTAAAAACGGTTTAACCAACAAACCAATGCGATGAATGGTGAATTAACACGTCGATTCACTAGCGCCGCAATGCCACCTAATCATTGCCGTGATGCCGATTCAGTTATTTTGAAATTCCTAGGAATAGGAAGCCTATTCTCATGTTAAGGGGGTTGGCTAGTTGGAGCGACGTGAGGGTGTGTGAGGCTGCTTCTGGTGGAGGCTAGCCTATTATACCTGTTGTGTTCCTATGTAAGTCTAGGAAGAGGAGGAATGAGGGCAAGGAGTCTATACTGGAAGGATTTTTGGATCATTTCTATCCTACTACTATTGAACTTTTGTTTTTATATATTGTAACGAAGATTTTGTTGTGTTTATTTTCAATTTAATGTATGGTTAAAAGTTTTTATCTGAGCTTATGAGACTTTAAAAATCATGTATTGTATAGAGTAAAATTATAATTTTATAAAAATTGCGTAATGTTGTTTTTAATGCTCTCGTGCTTAATTTAGTTTGTGTAGAAGACCTTGCATGAATTTAAAATATAATGTAATCTATATCCTCAACGGAGGAGTAGAAGAACAAATAGGGGATTTAAAATGTAACTTTGTCATGCATAGGAATAGGTTGGTTAGGGTTATAGGATCGCATTGGTTTGATTCACAACAAACCAATGCAGAGGAATCTTAGCTAATACTCCAACTAGCTCAACAGAGACGAGAAGTACTTATGCTTTGATTCACAACAACATTAAGAATAATCTATTTGATAAAAGTATGTTTTTATGTATCATAAGTTCATAACATTTAAAATATTGAATTTATCTTTAGTATCAGCTACTTTCACTTTTAATTGCATCAACCCATGTTAATTGATTGATAAGACAAATATAGAGATTCTTATAGGTAGTGCTATAATGATTTTAGGGTAATTTTCAATCCTTGTGGGAAAGTTCAGAACATTTAAAATATTGAATTTATCTTTTGAATCAGCTGCTTTTACTTTTAATTGCATCAACCCTTGTTGATTGATTGATAAGATAAATATAGAGATTATAGGTAGTGCTATAATGATTTAAGGGTAAATTTCAATCCTTGTGGGAATGATACATTCTCATCACTTTATGACTTTGCACGGCACATATACTTTCGTAGTACACACCATAACATAGTAAGTCATACTAAAAAATATAGTAGTGTGTGGTTAGGTGTTATCAATTGGCTAGCGTCCTGCTGTGAGAAATGCTATTAAAATCTATTTTCGAAAATGGAAGTACTGATCAATTACATATGCACTCAGATTAGGTTAGAATACTTTTTACTGATGATAAACTCAATTAAATTACCTTGGCTAAGATTGTGAAAGCATCGATATAGGATCTCGTAGCCTCATGATTTTGATGCATAATGGGAAATATCATTCTTTGAACATTGATTGGTGAGAATGTAATAGGTAATGAATGAGAGGGTAGGGCTGAGTTTGCTAGAATCGTCAGCTTTTTGTGGGATAGAGTGGTGGAGGATATAATGGATATAGTAGCCTTCCATGGATAATGAGTAAATGTTTGTAATGTGTTTATTAGAATAGGAGCTATGGAGTCTAGGATTGATGGCAGGCTAGCAGAATGATTGGAGAAATTGCTCAATTAACCAGATCTCCTTTCTTTCACTTGGAAGAGAGAATAAGGTTCCCAACATAGTCAAATAATGAATAATAGTTTAATACTTAGGTCTCTCTTTTAGAAAGTTAGAGTATATATCAGTTGAAAGATTAGCCACCTCGTAAAAATCATTAATCTAGTTGAAATTGAAGCAAAAACTCGTGCCCCTGACAAATTTATAGTAGTCAATGGTCTAGCATTTGCGTAGACATTTTGGACCATCAATACAAGAGTAGCATCATGTTGTCAGACAAATGTATGCTAGCCTCTTGAGATGTAATGCGTATGGAGTAACACTTAACATCAATGATATAGTAGAATTTTCTAGCATCATAAGGGCGCGAAGATGATGTAGCTTCCTTTCTTCGCTTCAAAATGTTGACCTTAATCATATTAACTTTGGCCTTCTTCTCATGCATAGTTTTCTTGTGTTTTACATGCAAAAGTCACATTATTCCTGCAAGCTCGGTTGGAGAAAGTTTATTGTAGTTAGATCAATGGTGGAATCTACCTTTCTTTCAAAAGACTAGGGTCACTAATCTCTTTACAAAATATTCTTATCTTTTGATGTCAGATTTAACGTAAAGAAAATGTTAGTTATACTGCACAGACAATCTACCATATTACACAAGTTCATGTATATATCTTTATTTTATGCTCCGTTGTGATTTTTTTTCCAAGTTGAGTCCATTTTTGACCTCTCGGCTTTGAACGAACGTGCTAATCCTCTTATTAGCTGCCAGTCAATTATTAGTCAAAACATAGGAAAAAATACTCAATAATAAAAATGAATCGCAAAAAGAAACATGATTGTATTAAGACAAATCCATATAAATGATATCGATTACATCCAACCCGTAGAATGGTGTTGAGAGCTCTTGTTATTTTGAAAGAATATAAAGAAATGCATGATAAATGACTTGAACAAGAAATATGAAGAAGAAAAAACTCTTAAGGATGAAGCTCTCGCTTTGTGCTGTCAAATTTTCGTCTTCTTCCTTGCCTTATAAGTCTCCCTAAAAGTCTGAAGAATAACTCCAAAGGAGTTTGGAAGAAAGCTATAAGAAATCTAGAAGAACTCACTCTCAAAACCTAAAAAATGTCCATTGAATATTCTGTGAAGAATCTGCTCTTGAAAAGGTTAATTTTTGCTATTGATAAGGGAAAAATTGGGCTAGTGCCTCGTTTGGCCTTTAGGCGTTAGAATCTTCATTCTCATGTTACAAAAATTCAATTATTTGAACAAAGATGGTCTTCTTATATCAAGCTTGGACCTGGGCGTTGGGTCTGGGCACTAGACCTTGGCGCCAAGGCGCCATTCTCTCTGTATTGTTTCTAAAAAATTCCTGATTGAAGGTCTAGGTATCGAGTAGGTACTAGGGCTTTCCAAGCAACCGATTTAGCTTCTCCCCTAATTTTGCTCAAATGAATCCCAAATGCTTGTTTTGCTCATTAAGTCCGTGAAATTTGCCAAAATCCTACTTATCTACATAAATGAAAATCTTTTCATCAGTGCAGGGAATTTATGAAATAAAGCATAATAAATGTGAAAAAAAATCTAAAGAGAGAAAAAATAAGATCAAAATCTCGTGTAATAAAGGGCTTTGATGCGTAAATCCAAGGAGCCTGATTAGCAAATATGGGTTGTCAAAATTTATTACTTTGTACCAAAAATCCCAAGAAATATTTGGTCAAATTCAAGACTACTTGTAGTAAACACTTGAGAAAACAATGCCTTGTAGTTATGCCTGTGCATTATTAGCCTGCCTTACTTTTATTGTTTCCGAGTGATGCTACTTCAGCTAACAATTTAGTTAAAACATTTATGGAGCTTGATATGTTCACCAATGTAAAAAAAAAATTACCTGTCATTGATCTTATCCTTGAAAAGAGAAGGATGAGATTTTCACTAATTATATCAAAAGATGGTGAAACCTCAACATGTAATGCCAAAAGCGAAAATATTGTCGCTAAATAGATCAAAAGTTAGTAAAACCTCACTAAATATATCAAAAGATTGTCACTAAATATTAGAATTCTGGTCAAAGATTGTTCCGTCTTTAAACATTGGGTTGAGAAAAACTGCCGAAATGACAAGCTCGCTTTTTCTTACAACATTTTGGTCCATCCCAAAAAAGAAAAAGACTAGCGGCCTCATTTCAGGATATATGTGATGTGTGTGGAAAGACACCGCAAGAAGTGCAAGGTGGATAGAAGAGTTTTATCTCAAAGAGAAACAAGCAAAAGATCACGATCCCTAAATACAAACAAAATTTTAGCAATCAAATTGGTTGCTAAATTTATGCCCTCCACATCTTAACAATATATGTTATCTATAACCTAAAATCATTATTAAAAGATATTAAGAAGAGATTAAAAATTATTTTTTTGTTTATCTTTTAACCGACATGATTGAGGTGGCATAGGACTTAATGGATTTTGGTTGAGTGCCTGTGTTTAGTATCAATGTTTGAAGTGATTCCATGCATGAATTAATCAAGACTTAAGATGTGTTCTCTTATTGTTTCATGCTTCCATCAATTCAAGTAATTGTGACTAGAGAGTTAAAATAGAGGAATTCAATGGCTGAAGTTATTTTGAATAACGACGTGCATTGTTTGTACAAGGATAAAAATTGAATTGAACTAATCTTATTTGGTTGGCTTGATTTGGTTATCCAAGTATGAGTTTGTTCATTGGCTATAATTCTGACTTTCTTTGATTTTCTGGTTTTGATTTTTCCTTTGTAAAATTGATTAAAGTAAAAAAATTATATTAGAGTAATTTCTTCAGAGATTAAATCAATAAAACTAATGGACTATGAATAAAAAGTGATAGAAATATTGACATAAATGTTATTTATTACACCTACTAAACTTATAAATTTTATCAAAGGTTATGTGGTATTCCTTTTAATATATGTTATTTAAGCTAAAGATAATTATGTTCATTATTAAAGTCAACTATATTTTGGTTAATCCAAAACCAAACTACACTAACTAAACTATAGTTTGGTTCGATTTAGTTTTTGAAAAATTATTTGGTCAGTTCGATTTTTTAAATTTCACAACAAAAATTATTTGGTTTGACTTATAAATCAAATTGACTAAATGCACACTTCGAATTTGAGTGAAAGAGAAGAGTAGAGAGAAAAAGTAGAGAAAATTATGAAGTTTGTTTTTATGAGTGCAGTATATCATTGTAATGAATTGAAAGTATTGTTGGACTAAAATTTTGAGCCGAATCCATAGAGTTATAGACGTGCCCTTTTTGAGAAACATTTGAAGTAGATAGTTTTGGCATTAATGTAATCCTCTATATTGATTATTTCTTTAGAGTTATTCTGATCCCTTATTTGTCTTGATAGATTTGAGACTTCTCTTTTATTGTTGAGAGTTGGTGTACCTTGATTTTTGGATAGGGCTAGTGAGTGACATTGCTTTTTACACGATTTATAGTTTTTTTTCCCCTCTGGATGAGTTCCTCTCTCTCTCTCTCTCCCATGGACATAGGAACTTGATTTAAGTCGAACCATATAAAATTTTATGTCATCACTGTGCGCTTGAACTCTTTTCATATTGCTGTTCATCACACTCACTCCATCATACTCACTCCTAGTGCTGCTTCCATATGAAGTTCATATGCTTTTTCTAAAAATTGCTTGGATCAATTTGTGATTATATACAAAGCACACACTAGCATTTCAAAAAGGAGCTTATGCTTTGCCTTGCTTTTATGGAAAATTGAAAACTGAAGTTTCTTGTGGTTCGCAATGCTTTACTTCTAACAACATTGACTAATATTGCAATTAGGGTGGTATACTAACAATATATTTAGATTGCTACATGAATAAAACACAAAATTTGTTACAAAGGATTAAGAACCATTAGATTGGATAACAAAGGATTACCATTAAGAACCACTAGATTGGAAGGCACACCAGCAAACGTGACAAATTTAAAGCTAATGACAAATAGCAAACATTTTTCTTTTGAGTTTGGGGAATATAAAGCATTGCTTCTACAGGTTCGCCCTGGACGGGTAACCGTTACAGAACTATTTCAAATATTTGAACTGAATGGTGTAGCTGATGTGGACAGAACTAACATGCCTGCACATAAATTTTTTCTTCAATTCAATTTGGGTTACTATGCGTTCTATTTTGATTAATGTGGTTCAAGCTGCATTTAGTTTACTGTCATATGTTTCAGCAACCAGTGAGGCAGAAACTGCTTTGTCATCTTACAAGTCCTTGTGCAACCATTTGCCTCATCAGCCAATTTGGGCAGTTGCAGAAAATTACCGTTTTGAGCCAGCTTTTGTGGAGGTAGCTGCATGATGCCAATAATCAAGTTGCCTCAGAGACGATTTAATATGTACTACTATTTGGAAATTCATTCTACAGTGCAGGAAATTAATAAATGATATTGGCGAAATGATGAACATCCAAGTAATAGTTGAAAGTTCTATGAACAGTTCGAATCCCTATTTCTCAAGCTCCTGGCGACGCAATTTTAATGTAAGTGCCATGAAACTCAGTTCCCTCTTGGCCTTTACCTTTGCTTTATAGTTTGTTGCATTGTTGCATGCCTTCGTAATGATTCAATGCAATAATGATATGTCACATGTTCAATCTGATGCTCGTAGTTTTAGTGCTTGCCACTAATATTACATGTAACATTTTACCAAAGCTGCTATGGTGTTTCAGAACTCTAACGGGTCATTTCATATAGATTTTCTGGCCAAAAAAAAAAAGTTGGCCAAGAAAGATGTTTTATACATTTAGCGCAGTGGCCAACATAAGAAAGCTTGTGATGGACTTGATGCTTTGGTTCAGAGATGAAAAAAAGGACTCTGGTGAGAGGAAGAACCTGAAAAAAAAAAAAAGTGAAGATGATGATGCCTTGAGGAAAGGTTTGAGATAGAGAGAGAAGGAGAAGCAGACCTCATGTACAGAGAGAGGTGGGATACTGTTTGGCTAACTTGGAAGTAGTCATATGAGATGAGGGCGGATCTATAGTTAGAAAGAGATAAACTTAGTATAATTATGATTTTATTCAACCATCAGTAGCCACAAACCTCACCTGGATTAGGTCTGTTGGGTTTGATTGATTGGCTTGGTTTAGTCTGGTTGGCCTAGTTTGATTGGCTCTGTCAGATAGGATTGGTTGGGTTGATTGATTTCATTAAGGTTTAGGGAATCCAATTTGTTTGGATTAGCTATAGGAGGACCTTAGTTTTAAATTAAGGAAGGTGGGGCAGCCGGGAGAAGAGTTTTACGAATACCTTGGTTTGCGTGCAGAAGTAAAGGGGATGGTTAGCAATCATGTGCAAAGGGACACGTAAAATTGAGGTGGTTCAGTTGTTCGTTTTGAGATTGGATTGTTTGATATTGCTAGGAGGTGTTTGGTTCAAATTTGGGAAGGAGATTGATGTTTTAGTAGGGGAGATAGGATTATGTCTTAGACATTTTCCCTCTTTTTTTTTTAAGGTTTTAAAATGAGAATGAGTAGATGGTGATAAATTTAACTAGTTTTGTGTAGCAGTTTTGGGGTTGTGCGAAGTTAGATTTTCATTTAGGTGGCAGGTCATCCATATAGTATGACGGTGTAGACATGTCTGGAGGTTGAAATGAGGTTGTAGCAATGTTATTTGGTTATGATAGTGGTGGTCATTGGCAAAGGAAATATGCGAGTGATGGTACGTTTTGGTGGTGGTTAGGAGCTTTTTGGTTGTCGGAAAAAGTAATACAATGTAAAAAAAAAATGTAGTATAAAAAGACACTAGGTAAAAGGAATACATTGGTGTTATTTGGATGTGTAAAATAAATGCATGTGTGTATTATTTTTTTTTTGTAAGTAAAATGAATGTAAAGCTCAAAGATGGGGGTGGTGGTGGTGGGTGACACTGATGGTGGCAGGTGGTCGTGGTGGTGTCCAGTGATCGGCGGGTGGTGGCATGGCCGCCAATGGCAGCGGTGATGGTGGACGACCGACAGTGGGTGGCTGTGGCCGGCAGCATACGACATATGTGGTGGTCGGCCGATGGCAGTGGTGGCCGGTGGTGGCGACGGGCGATGATTGGTGATGACAGTGGATAGTGGCGGTGGGCGATGACAAGAGAGGTTGCTTGTGGTGAATATGGTTTTCGCTCAAAACTGGGCAAGTTTACTCTCTCAAAAATGAACTAAAATGCCTTACACTGCATTCGCTTTACTTTACTCTGGATTCGTTTTACTTACTCTGTATTTTTTTTTATCCATCCAAACACTAATATTTTCAAAACCCATCTAAAGGAATTATTTTACATCCACTTTACTTAAATCAAACAACACCTTAGTATGGAGGTTGAAGAGTTTGAGCTTGGTAGGAAGGGCGAACATAAACAGAGATATCCACGGACATTTGCTTTCAGAATTCATTGAATTCTCATTGAAAATCTTCCTAGATGTTGAAAACCTTCATCAGATTGGGTGGTGGCTGGCAGATTACAGAAAAACAACTCGTAGGATGCAAAATATTTTTGTTTTATTGCACATTGACATAGACTGAACAATGGAAGGAGCTTTTGATGGGATTGATGCGTAGATTGTAGTGACTAGTGAGAAATGGAAGAATGCGTTTTATAGCTATAACTAGCGAGATAAAGAGCAAGAATAGTTACGTGAGATGAAAGAATGCTCAAACTCAAAGGGAAGGGAAGCAGATCTCACTGTTTAGGAGAGCTGGGAGTGCATTCGGCTTACTTGGAAGAAGTAACCGAATATGTGAGGTAGGATTTAGCCATGAGAGAGTAAGAAATGAATTCATTTTATTCAACCACCCCCAATTACTACCTTCGGTATTAATAATAGCTCCTAATTTAAAGACAATCTAATTTTAATAATTGCAAATCTATGCTAAGAGAAGTTATAGATGAACCCTTGAAAATTGACATAAATCAAATTTAAGAAGGATATAGATACATCCCATAACGCAAATAAAAGATATAATCCATGACATCCTGATAAAAGATGACTCAATGACTGATATCATGAAGTATTGTGCATCAATACTTGAGTTATCCTACTTATTAAACTTATTAAGATGTTCTACAAGCAGACCTTTGTTTCGATGATCTTTATTTATAGATTGCCAATTAGGTCATCATCCAAGAAATTTCATGATTTTTTTAATGACTTACTAGACGTTTACCTAAGCTTAGTAAACAAATAACCTCTTAATATTTAAAAATTAAATTAAGAGTTATAAAGTCAAACATTTATGTTCTTATTTATTGAGAATCTGAGATCCATGTTAAAATATTTTTTGATTTCCATGAATAGGATTTCTGGCATACAAAAATTGTATCCAATTGATGAGGTTCCTGCCAATTCAGGGCCTATAAAAGGGTTGTATGAAGCCTTACCCTTGTGTAGCAGTGAGGCTTTTTTCTTAGTTCAAACTTGTGATCTTAGAGTCATAGGCTTCATTTGGTACAACTTTCTTATTGTTTTCTAAAACAAATTTCTTATACAAAAATTTCGTGTTCAAGAAATTTTTGTACTAAAAAACTGCTTTAAAAAATAATAAAAAACTATCCCAAATGAAGCCATAGTCATGGGGTTTTTTAGCATATGACAGAACTTAATTTATTATGTTAGCTAAATCTTGCAATTTCAAGGGCATGCTTTTAATTAAGTTTACTTTTTCAGTTGAAAAGTAATTGTTACTACAAGTGTCTTACTGCATTTTTCAGGGTGGTTTCATTCTAGATATGGGCGTACATTTCATTGCTGGGCTGAGAATGGTAAAATTTCTTGTTTTTGTCATGTAAATATAGCTATATGTAGTTAATATTAATGGTTGCTTATTTTGAGATGGAGCTTACACTTTTTTATTGATTATTTAGTTGCTGAAGAGGTCAAATTTTCTTAAACATAAATTTTTAGTTTTAAAAATCTCTTAGAATTTAGATTTTGGATTACTCCATAAAGGCGTACTCAATACATGAGACTTCCCCCAATATGCGGTTTGTGGAGGGATTATTTCGCTCAATTTTACCCCTTCACTACAAAGAATTTGTTTCATGATTCGAACTTGTGACCAAAGGAACACAATTGAGACAACTTAACCATTGCTCCAGTCTCATAGTCATCCTTGTTCGCTGGAATGTTCCTGGAACATCAATTGTTGTGTTGTTGAATATAATCCTTCCAAACAGTTTTCAGGTAGACATCACATGAAAATAAACCAAAATGAAGCGACCAAGGAATAAAAAAATAGTGTAGTGCAAGTGAGAACTCATTTAAAATCACCTTAGACTTGTTCTCTTTTTACAAATAACCATATTTCAAGTTTTAAATTTAAAGATTAGATTTTTGGAGAATTCACTTGAGAGTATTATAGAGCATGTAACTTTTCACAGCACATTTCGGATATATGAAATGCTGTAAGATGCAAGCAGAGTTGCTAAACAATCATAGGCTTCTGTGCAAAGAACCTCAACTTTTATATTTAACTTAAATATTTGATTTTTTTTTTCATTTATAATTTTCACTTTTTGAGTAATAAAGGAGTTTGACCTTTCATAGAACATCTCAGATAGATTCCCCTCAATACAGTTTAGAACTGTGAAGCTGTCAACAAAAGTGATGGGCACCCCTTAACAAAGTCTCAAACTCTTTTTAAAAAGTAATGAAAATTCATTTGGTTTTGAATTCTGTGAATTCACAAATAGGTGTCAAACCCTATCATCCTCTCAAATATGTAGCTCTTATCATAGTTAGTAAGCAATAGATGGCAATAATGGATGTGAAACAAGCCTGTTTGCCATGCCTAATCAGGTTAAGGTAGTATAAAGAAAGGTTTCATTTATGCATTGTTAGTGTTCTCAAGCATACCTATTCAAACCATGTGTTTTTTTCTACTCTTTTTTCCCTGTTCTGGATATTGTCCTAGAAGTGCTAGTTTAAGTTTCCAATAAGTTTGAAAACAATTACACTGAAGGATTTCTAGTTTATCCTTGACATTCTACTATGAAATCATAATGGAAGACATTCTTGTAAGAACCGGCTGGTCCAATTCCAGCTGAATCGGACCTTGCGTTGAAACAGGCGAGCGGAATCGGGCAAACACCGGACGAAGCAGATGAGTCAAGCGGGAAAAACCGCGGGTGCAAGAGGACCCATCAGAATCGAATCGTGCAATGGAGTGAAAGAATACGTACGGGAGTGAAAAGAAACGACTCATCACGCGAGATAACACTGTTTCACTCCATCCAGTATCGCTAAATAAGATAAATTCGAGAGAGAAGGGGTACGAGGGACGAAACGTGTGAGCAAGCTACCGAGGAGGTCGAGAGAAGGAAAAAGGAAGGGGCTGTAGGATGAGCTTAAGAAGTGAATGTGGGAGACCGAAAGAACGCGTGTCGTTAATTTTAAAGTAAAAAAGAAATCTCAAATATGATAATAAAGAAAATATTGTTTATAAAAAGGGAAAGAGAGAACAAATAGTTTTAAAAATTCAATTTTAATTAGTGAATTAACAAATTAATTAGAAGAGACGAAATTAATTAAATTTTAATAACATGAACTTTTTATTTGCTTTTAATCTAACATTATTGGAATAAGGAGTAAAAGTAAATTATCAAGGCATTCGTTTCAAGGCGAGTACTCATGCTTCTATTTTATAGTAATGTAAGTTCATTGAATTAATTGATATTGAGTAGTTAATGATTATTGTAAAATTCTAGCATTTCTTCTTTTTGAATGGTCATATTAAATTATTTGATTGTTAACATGATTCAACATATGCATTATAGAAAATTATTGAATGAAATGATTATATAGAAATGCTTATATGTGCATGTTGATTGAGGGAGCACTCTCCCTTATTGTACTGGTTATGGATGCAATGTACTTATGCACGTAAATGAAAAAGGAAAAAGAAAATATAAAAGAGTACCTTCATTAGTACTATTTTAGACGATGAATTCTATGACGGTTGTATTATTTAAGAGAAATGATAAAGATAAAGGTAAAGACATGATAATGATATATGTATAATGTTGATGATCATGTTTGAAATGAATTTAAATGGAATTATTTTATGTTTGAAACTGAGCATGCATATTATTTCAAATGTCTTGTGTTACTTTAATTTAGATGCATGATTTACTTACTGAGTTCATTTATAACTCACTCCTAAATTTGTAAATGAACATATATTATTTAAAGTGTAAAATAAGTAAAAGAGTTGAAAATGTGTACCGTAGGTGAGATGCTCTGAATGAAAGGTATTTATATAGTTTTATTTCAAATTGTTTTGAGGTTTTAGTGGCTCTTTCAAAATTTTTATTGGGGATAGTTTTAACAAACAAAAAGTTAATTAACTGTCTAACCATCTGTTCCCGCTTCATTAATTCGAGTCTCTGGGGGGGCGGATTGTGACAAAAGTGGTATCAGAGCGCTAGTTTAGTAACTTAGGAATATGAATTGTCATGAAAGAGCCATAGGAATAATTCAAAAAATTATCCGTGAAGGATTTAGAGATTCAATTAGATAGTATAATTAATAATGCCTTGTATAAATATATTTGGTATGCGGATGATCAAGAGAAAGTAACTGATAAAAATATGGAAGGAGAAGAAGTACCACCTAGAATGATTGTGAACACCAATACCTTTACCCAGATGATGACGGGCATGACCCAACTACTTCAGGAATCAAGATCGCAGCCTGATGTTGGAGTTGATAAATATCTAAAGTTATTCCAGGACATGAGGCCACTTCTATTCAAAGGTAATGAGGGACCGATTGAGGCTAAAAGTTGGTTGCTCTATGTAGAGAAAATATTGGATAGCATGTCATGCCTTGATGAAAGGAAAGTATCACTCGTTACATTTGTTTTAGATAAAGAAGCAGAAAGGTGTTAGATAGGTCAACACAAAGACATGCTTAGAGATATTCCAAATTTACTGGTTAACTGGGAAGACTTTGTGGAACTTTTACAGGGAATGGTTCATACCTATGTCAGCAAGGAGGCAGATGGGTGCATGAAAAATTTATAAGACTGGTTCAAGTAGACAAATTAGTGATGCAATATGAAGCAAAATTTACAACTCTATCTAGATATGTACCACAACTGATTTCAATAGTGAGAAATATTATCAATTCCTACCTGGTCTAAAAGATGCAATTAGACAACCTTTAATACCTTTAGTAATCGAAGATTATTCAGTGTTGGCAGAGAGAGCTATAAGGGTGAAAATTGTCTTTCAAATAACTCAGAAGAAAAGAGATCAACATAAATGGAAGAGTATGGAAGAAGATATCCGAAGCAATCCGACTGAAGTATCAAATGGGAAGAAGTCTAAGTTTAGCCTTAGGGTAGTTGGTAGTGCTATTTCCATTAAAGTCATGGATACTTGTGCTAAGTGTGGAAGATTTAATAAGGGTGAATGTTTGATGGATTCCAACACTTGCTATTGGTTTTATCAGCCTAGACACATAGCAAAATATTATCCTTCTTTAGCTTAGAGGATTTCATGAGAGATGAGATCAAGTGAAGCACCTTCACATAAGAGCTTCGGCAAACAGAAGATGATAGAATCAACATTTTCAACTCGACAACACTCAAACAAGGAATAATGTTTGACCTCGAGTTTATGCTTTGACTTAGCAGGAACCTAATGAATCAATAGATGTAATAAAGATTAATGAGATTTCTTTAATATAGTAATTTGTTATGTTAAATCAGATTTTTTTTCTTTCTGCAGTTATCTTATTATGTTATATTGGATATTTTGTTTTATTCAGTTATGTATCTAATCTTAAAGTTTATGTTAAATAAAAGTAAAAAAAATATTATTTTGTTTATGCATTAAGTATTTATATACAATTTAACTCATAACAATATATTATAACTAATAATTATAAGTAAATTTCGAGGACGATATTTTTATAAGAATGAGAGATTTTAACAAGTTGGTTCGGTTTAAGCCGAACAAGACCTTGTGCTGAAGCAGGCGAGCGGAACATGGCGAACAACGAAGGAAGCATATGAGTCAAGCAGGCAAAATCATGGTTGCGGGAGGACCGGGCAAAATCGAATTATGCAATGGAGTGAAGGAATGCGTACGAGAGAAAAGAAATGACTACTCACACGAGTAACTCTGTTCCGCTCCATCCAATATCGTTAAATAAGAGAAATTCGAGAGAGAAGGGGTAAGGGGGACGGAACCTACGAGCAAGCTGCCGAGGAGTAGATAGAGAGCAGGAAAAAGGAAGGGATTGTGGGATGAGCACTCATGAGCTTGAGCAGCAAATGTGAGAGATCGAAAGGGGTGAGTGTTGAAGCGAGGAAGAAGGAAGTTGCTTGCGTGCGAGTTAGGGCTTGGGATTGACAACGAGGGAAAGGTAAATTTTCTTTTTGTTGGAGAAAGAATACTTAATTAAAATGTTGATAAATTTAAATTATATTAATGAAATTGTAAGAATAAAATAGTAAATATAATTAAAAAATTTTATTTAAATTTTATAAAATAACTTTAAATATATTAATGTTGAATTTAATGTTTAAAAATAAAGTTTATATATATATATATA